TTTTTTTTTTTTTTTTTTTAAGGGGGGAAAATCATCGAATGACTGCCCCCGCCTGGGTGAGGCGGGAGGGAGTGTCAGACTCTTACTGACTAAAAACCACCCCGTTCCTTCTCCTGCACGTCGAGCCGGAGCCCCGGTTACCCGTTAGGTTCTCCGCGACTCCGAATCGGCATCGGCCCTATTGGGCCCCATCTGTGGTGGTCTGATGGCTCTTTGAGGCGCGCGCGGAACGCGACGCGCCGTACGCTCGGGTCTGTTTCTGGTCGGACGGGGAGCCACCCATGCTCGCCGTCCGCAGGCCCGCGCTTACGGTGGCCGGAGATCGTCCCGCGATCCCCGACGCCCGGTGTGTCCTTCGCGATGGCTGGGTTGCGAGGAGGCAGCGCTTCGCTGCCTCACGCGTCCCGCCTCCTCCTTAGCTAGCATGACTGCTTCGCAAAAGGAGGAGACGGCATCCCAATCCCCCTCGCTCCGCATCATGGCCTGCACTAGGCCCGGACGCGAGAGGTCGCCATCGCCGATCACTTCCCTGAGGACACGGCGGTGCCCAGCCCACGAAGGGCATTCTCCCACCGTGTGTTCCACCGTGTCCTCAGGGCGGTCCTCGCAGTGATGACACCCGGGCGTTTCCTCCCGCCCCATCAGACACAGGTACCTCCCGAAACTTCCATGTCCGGTGAGGACCTGCGTCAGGCGGTAGGTGAGGACGCCGTAGCGTCTCTCAAGCCACTCCTCAAAGAGGGGACTTACCGCTGCGATGGCAGCGAGCCCAAATATTATGAGCCCTAGCATGCCTAAAACTAGTTATCTCGTCAAACAGTTATGTCAGTATGCCGTTAAACATAACTTTACTTCATGGAAGTTTTGCAATACGTATTTTGGATATGACCCTCGTTACTTTCTTAAGTTTATAGACAGTTTTGTCTATAATATATAGACAGACAGATAGACAGATATTATAATTAGTGTAAGATAGTACACATACCGGCAGTCTCGGTGTTGGTAGGTTTCTCCTCCTGGTCCGTTTCCATGTTCTCGCCGTCACCGATATGCTCATCGTTCTGTCCGAGCAGAGATCTGTGCAACAATATTGTAATATTTGAGATTAAAGTGGAAAAACCATTGAACATGTCCTGTACATAGTGTTGTTGCAGTATGGTGGCGGTACGTCAAAGTTTGTGAGTTTGTGTGTGTATGTAACTCAATCATATCAAAACGGGTGTATTATGTAAATATGTAATAAGTATAGGTCGCTGACCGTATCTTCTGGTACACCCAGCGCGCGAGCTCGCGGTGCGCCTCGAGGCGCGGGCTGACGGTGAGCTGCTGCAGCAGCGCGACGAGGCCGGTGCGGGCCGCGCCCTCCGCGAACTGGACGAACTCGTAGTGCCCACTCTCCTCGTCACGCAACGCGTAGCCTATCAGGTGCAACGCCTGCAAATATACATTTTACTCTGTAATACACTTTTGGATAGCCAAACAGCTAGAAAAACAGGGTCATTTGGTAAAAGGACGGCGGAACGACCGTTTAAAGCTTCAATTTCACCATCAACATTAAAAATAGACCTTACCTTATGCACTTGTGTCTCGGAGAAGGTCCTGGCCCTAAGGTCTAAGGCCCGTTCGAAGACAGTTTTCAGTACATGGTGGACCGCATCGCATTGTAGCAAATTGGCTATTAGACGGAATGGAGGCGCCAGTTTCGGGAGCATTGGAGGGGGGCAACATTCTGGAAGACCTGGAACGAAATATTTATCATAAATACCAAACATTCATCAACATCGCAGTCTGCCCCAATATAAGTTTCTCTTTACATGTTATCTCTACTAGATAGCTACTAATTAAATTATAATAGCTAGAACAAGTGTATTACGGGGGTGCCAATGTTATTAGATTTTTTTCACATATTTTGGAGGCCACCACTGCAAAACCCACCGTATGCGCCGCAGCTGACTTTCATAACACTTTATAATACAATTCTCTAAAATTTTTTACAAATTATCAACCGAAAGGAAATTGGTCGTGAATTTCTGTCACTAGGATTGTAGAATTTGTATATGATATACAAATAAATGACATTTTTTTTATTTATCTTATTCCCAGCAATATCCGTACAGACTAATCCAAATCGATATTGAGGTTTCTTATACTAAATTACAAACTAGATTTTTAACTAACCTACTAAGCTAACCATAACAAATGCTAAGAAGTGCTATAATTGTTTTTATAATAACTATCGTGAGACATACTAAATTAAGTAAAAACGCGGGTTACTCACGTGAATATACTGAGAAAAGCTCCACCAGTTTCGAACCACAGAGGGGTTCCTCCTCATGAGCAGCGTGCGCGGTCGCGGCGACGTCGCGCAGCTCACTGAGCGACGTCGCGAGGAGGAACCCCTCTGTGGTTCGAAACTGGTGGAGCTTTTCTCAGTATATTCACGTGAGTAACCCGCGTTTTTACTTAATTAAGTGCTATAATGTTTAGTGAATTATGATGATGAAGTAACAAACCTGCAGCCTTCCTCCTGTTCCTCTGTTCCTCCTCACTCCTGGACAGTTCCTCCCTGGTATAGTGGTAGAAGAATGTGTCATACTCGTCGTACAGATGCGGCTTTAGTTTGTAAACGCCGCGGTTATTCCCACTAGTGGGCTTGATGAAATCTGCTACTTTGTGGATGACAGCTTCTAAACCAGTTTCATGGAGCTGATCTTCTGGGAGACATCTGGAAATATATCATCATGACAGCCTACAGCAGGACAATTGGCCTCCTTTACAAAAGAGATTTTGCTATGTCTACGCTTGGTAGACCGGTTGGAGATCACAATTTGACAGGTTCAGGTTTACCAACGAGTGCTACTCCATGGTTTCTGTCTAACGTGTCGTATTCGTCTATTGTAACACACGCAGGAAGAGGAGTAGTGCCAAAATATATTCCACTCTGCTAATGAAATTAATAGCAATTAACAACATAACATCACGCCTTTTATTCCCGAAGGGATAGGCAGAGGCGTTCTGCCATTACGGCACTTAATGCCACTGTACAATATAGTACCCACTTTTCACTATTTATGTTATGAGTCTCGTGTAGTAGGGGGTGAGCCTATTGCCATATACCAGGCACAATTCCAGGCTCCGTGGTACTACGGAGTTACGGAGTAGTCTGGAATTGTGCCTGGTATATTTAAAACCCAGTTTTTTTTAAAAACCCAGTATTACTTTGTTATAACATAACATCACGCCTTTTATCCCCGAAGAGGTAGGCAGAGGTGCACACAGAAGTAACACCCACTTTTCACTATTTATGTTATGAGTCCCATGTAATTTGTTAATGGCAATAAAATAATAATTATTTTGTTATTTGAAAGAAGTGAAGATACCTGTTGAGTTCTGAATGTGGCATGGGCTTGATACACAACATTTGAATGATTTCCTTCATGGTGCGGTCTTCGTTGGTCACCTCGCCCACACCGGGGACGTAGCGGGCCCCGTAAACTAGAAAAATAATCATTATGTAAGTTTTTCTTATTTGAAACAACGTTTGCGTTATGGAGACGCGTAAGTGAGGTTACCTCCACTATTCCCAACCCCCAAATGGTCAGCAACGCTCTTGTAACTTTTTCAGTGTTGCGAATGTCCTTCGGCGACGCCATTTGCTTACCATCATCAGGCGATCCGTCAGCTTTGTCGCCCTATGCCACAAACAATGTGTGACTTATAACTACTAGCCCCCCCGTGGCTCGAAATTAGTCGATAGTTAGAACCTTGTGAAACATACATATATGAACATATAGTATAAATCAAAATTTAATTATAAGAGAGTTTTTTTTTGTGGTACTTACTGGTGATGAGAAGTCCCAGAAACTCTTCAACCATGGGTATAGACTGTCTGACGGAGTCATCCCCCAAAGCGCGCTCAAAGTCGGGCTTTGCCCAGTCCAGTAATTTGAACTTATTCAACGCGTGAATTATGAACTCGTTGCTCTCTATTAGAGAGGCTCCGACCTGTAATATAATACAACTTCTATTACTATAGGTACTTCATTCCAAGGCACTTTACATTCGTGTGTGACGTCGACCCATGAATTGGCGCCGTAAATAACGCAGATGATCCGCGCGCGATGTGTTTTTTTTTTAAATGTTGCCCCACGCTAGAATTTTCTCCTGTATCGTGGGTGCGTTTACAAACATACAAGTTCACATACAGATGACACCCAGACCCGGAACAACTATCTGTGGATCACACAAAGAATTGTTCCGTGCGGGAATCGAACCCGCGACATGCTGCGCGACAGCCAGTTGCCCAACCACTGCGCCAACGGTGCAGTCAATGTGTGTTTCCACACTCACAAAGCTCCACAGTCTTATCCGCAGCTGTCATGGACGACGATGTGATTTTTGCTGCTGCTATGTCAGTAGGTACTTGCCATTGTGTATTACAATTTCAAAGTCAAAGTCAAAGCATTTATTTCAATTAAACCATAGTTTGTCGGAAACAAATACAAAATATTATTTTTTTATTTTTATTATTTTTTTAAAAAACGTTACCCCACGCTAGAATTTTCTCCTGTGTCGTGGGTGCGTTTAAAAACATACAAGTTCACATACACAATATGACACCCAGACCCGAAACAACAATTTGTGGATCACACAATGTGTTGTTCCGTGCGGGAATCGAACCCGCGACACGTTGCACGGCAGCCGGTTGCCCAGCCACCGCACCAACCGTGCAGTCAAAATAAATAATAGTCTGTCAGTCAGTCCGTCAGTGAAACTAGGTGAAGCTAAGTGCTCATTCCAAAAAGTAGATTCTAATGGAGAAGAACGAGCAAGAAACTCCATTCGTTACTCTTTGTAAAAAAAAGAGAAAAATTACCGTTGTGTTAAACATAAGAAGCATATGAAATCGGCTCGGCTTGAAGACATTTAATGGGGGCCAGTTCTAGATCATTCTAGATGTAATATTCATATTTAAACGACAACAATAATAAAACGAGTGCTGCGAGTGTGGGTGCGTTCACCTTTGTCGCGAGCTAGACAACCGACACTGGTCGGGGAACGATGCGAAGCGCAAACAACATCTACACTCGAGATTCGCAGTTGTCGCGGGGCTCCCGGTCGGTAGAGCCAGCCGGCTTTACTAATATTTATAATAAATGCGAAAGTTATAGAGGGGGAGGTACCGTGAAATTTTTATAGGACATTTGTCGTGTATGAATTATATTTGTAGCTAAAGAATAATGTCCGACAGTCACTAGAATGAGAGTCTGCGCACCCGTTGCAGTCAGGAATTTACAGCAGGTGGAAGTTACCAAAAATAATTTAACTTTAAGTCCTTATACATTGCCTTAATGTTTATAAAAAATCTTTAGATAAGAACTAATATGCAATAGTTTTATGAAATCTTCGGACCGTACCTGTAACATGACTATATCTCTGTCGAGCATCTCCGCGCGACATTTGACGTTCTGGTAGAAATAGAGTTGGTTGATGAGAGCGAATCCATTCCTTCGCCACATACCCGCGTGCACCTGTCCTATCATCGCCATCGTCTGCAGGATTGGCTCTGGAAGAAAAAGGCATATTTTAAGTCATCTTTTTTACAAGATATCTGTGTATAATTTATTTATTTTTTTGAGGTAAGCCGTTAACGAACAGTCGGATCAACTCATGGTACGCAATCGGCGTCGCCCATGGACACCTGAAACACCAGGGATGGGAATTTGAGGATTGTAGGAATGGGATTAGGGACCCTGGGGAGGGGGAGTAACTGAGCCTCCGGTAATCTAACTCACACGACGAAAGACAACGCAAGCGTTGTTTAACGTCGGTTTTCTGTGAGGCCGTGGTATCGAAATGTTTATGTACGCACCTATTTCTACGATACTGCATTCGTAAAGATCTATTGATATCACTACATGATATCAAACAAAGTTGCTTTCCACTGTTTGTCCCTATTACGCAACGGGTTTTGGTGCGGTTTTAAATGAATAGAGTGATGTGAGTGATTGAGTGAGTGAGTGAGTGAGTGAGTGAGTGAGTGAGTTAATCAATGAGTGAGTGAGTGAGTTAATTAATGAGTGAGTGATTGAGTGAGTGAGTGAGTGAGTGAGGAGAAGAAGAGTGATTCAAGAAGTAGCTTTATAATCTTTTACTACATATTTTATAAAGCTGCAGCTTTGTTTGAACGCGTTTATCTCAGAAAGTACCAGTCCGATTTGAAAAAATATTTTTGTGTTGGATAGTTCATTTATTAAGGCAGGCTGTAGGCTATAAAACATCACGCTACGACTAATAGAAGCAGAGCAGTACAGGTGAAACCGCGCCACAGCAAGTAGTTACGAACAATAATAATAATGTATAATATTGGCGGGTAGCTAGTACATAATTAAGCATGTTTACTTACCAATGAGTTCAACAGGCGTGGGTTTAGGTTTATCCTGTCGGTCGAACTCTTTACTGTGGTAGGACAGGCCATGGTCATGCAACAGTAGATGTAAGCCCGCGATGTAACGAGACAGTGGCCGGTGGATGGACACAGGCTTAGTAGATACGTCGTATGGGATCACTGACGCGCTCTGGTTGCCTAGCTCTGTAACAAAAATGAATTTTTAATCAAACAATATTATTGTCCATCAGTGAAGCTAGAATGATGATCGCTCCTAATTGAGTACTTGTCAACTAGTCAAATTCAATACTTTTTTCGAACTGTGAAAAACGATAGTTTCTATGAATTTTGTACGAGATTGTGTATTTTTGTAGCGTCACGTTTTTTTTAGCGTCCAACATCATAAAAATGCTGGAAAATTCTAAAATGAAGTTAGTCATGAAATCAAATAATGATAGTGTGATTATTTTTTAATATTTTAATGTATTCAACAGTCGAAATAATTTATTTTTGATTACGAAAAGTACCCGATTGATTATTAAAGAAAAGAACGAGAAAGAAATGAGGGCTAACGTTCTTTTGTTCACTTGATGACGCTGACGTAGGATGGATAATTTTGTCCAACCACAGCGGCTGTCAAATAGTGAACGTCGGATGGTGCAACACTGGCTAATTCCCTATTGGACGAAGAAAGAGAAGTTCGCACCAGCGTCATATAGTGAGCAAAAATACGGTAGGCCCCATTCTATCGTTACCCTTTCCAACAAGCATTGCTTTCCCTCATAGAGTGTCTTGTATACTGAACTACTGACCATAGTAAACCTTGGGTGACGGAGTGTAAGTCTCGCTGAATTTCCTCAGTGCCATGCGGAAGAGGGCGGTGGCCAGAGTCTTCTCTGCTGCGCACCATTCCAGTGACAGCGTGATGCTGTGGGCTAGTTTGACATGCAAATTGAAGGCAGACTCCCATTCGGGCTCGTACTCCATATGCTGCCCGACCTTAAGATATAAAAGAGAATAAATTAAATATTATAATTATTGTTTTGAAATTACATTACCACGTTAACCGCTCTGTAGGTCACCGGTGACCGACGTCGGCAGTCAAAGGACTGTAGACTAAATTTATTTCAATGTCCGTCCGGTAGATTATTTCAAAACATTAGACACGTATTTTTTCTTTTCTTACAAAATTAAATACTTTCGACGATGTATTAATCTGAAATATCGTGTGACTCCCACTCCTAAACTTAACTTTTATTTTATCTAGGTATTGTAACTTTATACGAGAAAGTAATAAAAAAATACGTGTCTAATATTTTTTCATTATCTAAATGACGGACTAATTACATTTTTAATTTTCATACCCTGTCATCCCTATTGCGTAGATATTATTAGTAACTGAATTTTCGCTCAAATGCAACTTTGCACCCGCCAGTACAAAATTGACCCATACTAGGCAGAACCCAAGACTTCATGTTCAATTAGTCAGACATAATAATGAATTAATCTCTATCTTAAAATAATACTTAGACATGTCTTTATTTTCCCAAATTCAACTGATACCAAAAATGTTTTTAACTGACCTGTCTAACGACAGAATCCATGCCCTGCATCATGACGAGCAAGTTCAGCAAGAGAGACATGCCATGCATGAATCCCTTGCGAAGGTCATCGTCGAAGGAGGTGGGTACCGAACTGAGGAGGTATTTCACATCGTACAGGATGAACTGAGCTCGCTTAAAAGCCACAGGAATGTTTGACCTGTCAAATTCTAATCGACCCTGTAAGAAAATAACATAATATTAGAACGTCACAAGTTTATAACCTATTGAGGTAGACAGAGATGCATATTTTCAATGTAGGTACTCATTATTCTTTCACCAGTTATGAAGTTCTATGTTATATATACGATACTACTTATTGCTTAAGATACTCAAACATGATAGAGTAGCTGAGTAGCCCAATGTGGAAATCGAACCCTACCCCTAGCTACTTGATCGATAGTTATACTGGGGACTACTGGTACATCAATAACAATAACAAATGATTGCAACTAATATACCATGACAAAAATCTCCTTTAACAAAAAGCTCATATTAAGTATTATAGAACTTACAGTTTGTTGATTACAGCGTCGATTACACTCGCTTATGAAGGTGTTCATAACGACAAACAACGCGTCGTGCTTTGCGATTAGATGGTGCGCCAGAGTCGGTGTCGTGTACAGTTGTACCGACAAAGAAGATATCGAGAACGAATGGTCATGATCGTCCTTGATAAAATCTTTGAGTATTGATCCTGGAAGATAAAAAGTATAAAGATTAATTATGAGTAAATTTATTTAAGATTAATATCGAGTCTGCGGGTGCGCTTGAATCACGGCAGAGGGCGCGCTCGCCTGCAGACTCGAATAGCCAGTAGCAGCGCGACAGTCGCCGCGTCGGGGGTCGCGAAATGCTGCTCATGAATATGATCTCTAGAATGGCTTGAAACTAGTCGAGTTCCTCGTCAAATTATTACGTGAGTAAGCCGAAAACACAATAATTTATTTAGTTTGTGTCACGAAAGTTACAATACAAATTAATTATGAGACCCTTCAATAACAAGTCCACCAGACTACGAGCCTCCTCTAATGATGTGAGGTTGATAAAAATGTACTGTTACACACGCTAATTTCAAGCACGAAAGCATGCTTCAATTGAGCACTAGTCACTTAGGAGCATGTGTGTCGGAATGTTGCTTAAAATTAGCTAAGGTACTGATGTACCTTAATGAAACGTACTCCATTGCAAGCCGCATCATCGCTTATCATCACGCCAGACAGTGGCTAAACACCCGAACCATTTCCAATATAAAAACAAAATCATCTACATGGCTTGGGTTAGATATCGCAGTCGAGCAAAATAGACGAATTGTTTCAATCCTGCTGATGCTGATTTTTATTATATTTTAAATTGTGTCAATATAATTTCAATAAAAAGCGCTAAGTAGTAATTAGTGCTTTTTAGTAATAGTCATTACAAACATAATTTACGGCTAAATAAAAAATATTAAACTTAATAATATAATAATAATAAACATGAAGAACATTATTTTTTTTTTGTTTTTCAATGTTATTTTGTTATTATTTTGTGTGTTATTCGGTGGTCCATGTCGGTGGCGAATAAATTATTTTTCTTTCTTTCTTTCTTAACATTGAATAACGTGGCAACCCAGACCCCAAACACAAAAAAAAATAAAAAAGAGTGAGTAACAGAATGAAAAGGAATGAACATGAACGTCATTCATTCAATGTCATTCTTATGTGACGGATAGACTGTGAGTTTCACAAGAACGCTGTTAGTTGTCAGTTCAGTTTGTTTTTATACATTGGCGGTAAGCCGAAGGTGTCGGGAGAAATTATTATAAACTTTTTGAATTATTTTGTCATTATTGTTAAAAATGAGTCAAAAACGCAGTCGCTCAGATAGCTGTGACGAAAAAGAAAACGTAAGTAATTCAATTATTAATATTATTGATACTTGTGTCCGCGTGGTATTTTTTTTTTTGTTTTGTTATATTTTACCAACTGAATTCGTTATTTATAATATCTTTATTGTTTTTGCAATTATTTCGCGGAGTTCTCAAAGAGAACAAAGAGCTCTTTGAGCACAATAAGTAATTTCAATAAATTAACAAATATTTAATAAAAATGAAGGTAGGCCATTTCCACAAAAGTCACATTTTATCAATTCAATCGTTTGATGACCGACATCTTCGTAAATGTTGCTGTTCAAATCTGAATGACAATTTATATTATAGATATATTATAAAATGGATTTTAAATGTGGAAAAAATTGGCGTACAATACTTTTACACGTTATCAACAAAAAAAGCGCTTAGAAAATTATGTAAATCAATAACAACTATGACTAACACCTTTGGCAATACATAATAAAATCATTTATCTTATTTGTTTAAAAATCTTTATGCACTCAAAAAAGCACATGGGTGGACCTAACACCGCAGGTATTTTCTACCAGTCTAACCCTTGGGCGGGTGCGCGGGTGCAATGAGCAAAGAATTTAACAATTGAAAAGCAAAGAATTTAACTATTGTAAAGAGAATAGTACAACACAAAGATATTTCAAAGAAAAATTAATCACCACTTTTTGCATCTAGGCGGATTGGTAATACAAAGAATGAAATAGGTTATTTCCCGGCGGTAAAAGTTAACTCAGAATAAATCACTAAAAGCACAAACTATACTGCCGAGGAAGTCCACAAACAGTAAGATACAAATATTTATGTTGTTATTTGTTGATTACAGGATAACGGTGACTACAATGCAAGTATGTCCAAACTTGATCACAAGGAGGCTAAGGAAGTACAAAGACGGAATGAAATGGCTAAAGAAGAGCGTAGGTTAGAGCGCGAAATACACAGAATGGCAATCAAATTGCAAATTCTAAAACGGAGACTTGAACGTGAAACTGAAGAATACAAAAAAGAGTGTGACGATATATTAAACAATAATTAATTATTAAAAGTATTATTAAGTTGAATTAAGTTGATTTTTATTTCTTCTGTTTTAGTAAATACCTGTGCGGTGTGCTCGTACCGTAACCGTAGCTAGATAACACAACGTAAATTCACGCCTTTTATCCCCGAAGGCAGAGATGCATTACGGCACTTAATTCCACTATACAATGTAAAACCCACTTTTCACATGTAATAGGGAGTGAGTCTATTGTCATATACCGGGCACATTTCCAGACTACTGAGATTTTGTTTAAAACCCAGTAATACTTTACCCGACCCGGGAATCGAACCCGAGACCCCTTGCCCGGCAGTCGTACTTGCGACCACTCGGCCAATGAGGCAGTCATAGTTACCGTTCCGTAATAATAATAGTAACATCTAGCTACGGTACGTTACTATTATTATTATTAATAATAAGGAGGCTACTGGAGGGCTTATGTTCAGCAGTTGAATGAAGTCTTCAGGGTTATATGATGATTAATTAAATACTAACCTCGATAGCCCTTAGGGAGCGGCTTAAAGAACTCACCATAATTCTTAGTGAATAATATGGCCATAGCTTTCTTCGTGGAGTAGTCCATGAGGGTTGTGGCGATAAGAAGCCGGTGCCAGGCGGTGCGGGCAGCCTTCCACATGCGCGAGTCATTCTGCATGACCCCACAAGCGACCCCGCCGCCGCCTCCCACTGACGTGCTAGCCCCCCAGACCTCTTCACCAAGCGCCACTTGGCTAACGGCCAGTCGAAGACTTGGTTCTTGACTTACGAAGTTTTGTAACCTTGGTTTTTGGAATAAGACAACTGTGTTAAGTCACTGATGAGTATGTTTAGGTAAGCATTACAATAAAACGCAGGATGTTCATCCTCAAGGTGGACAGACAACCTAATAAAGGTCGCAGGGCGCTATCGGCTCCATCTAAATCAGCTGGAAGCTCAATTCCCATCCCCAAATCCCCGAAAACTTGTAACTGTTCTAGTGTTGCCGCTGTCTATGAGCGGCGGCGATTGCTTATTACCAGGTGATCGATTACTGATTTGTCTCCTTATTCCGTAAAAAAATAAGTAAAACTCACCAATTCAGCAGCTTCATGGCGAAGGTCTGATGCGCGATGACGTGGGCGTGCATGACGAGCACCTTGAGGCTGGGTCCATGGCGCGACGTGAACCTTTCGAACATCGCCGTACAGCTGAGCACATATCTCAACATCACCCCACACCAGTTCCAGACCAGGGACCAGGGGATTTATGACAGTGACAACTGACAGTACACTGACAGCGCGGGAAATTTGACGTTTACGTCATATCATATCTTTTGTCGTGTAGATTTTACTATTTTTATATAATTACGAGAAAATAGGTACGCTACATGTTGTTACAAGTTAGGATATACTTTATCGTAAATCTTTCAAGCTATCTTTTCGCTATAAGCAGCGCAAATATTGAAAATTGTTAGAGGTATTTTTCTCAAGCCCTAATAAGAGTCGTATAGAGATATTATAATTATTGACACCCTTATAAAATTAAGAAAGGCTTTTTTACAGAATTCCCACGCTATCACGTACGAAATGATGATGAAGGGGAAAATGTAAATATAATGCGATAGATATAGATCAGCCATTTCACAATGACGTTCCATTACGAATTGAATAACAATTCTATAAGGTCCAGATTAATTTAAGCAAAAGTGTTAGTAAGGAATGTTGTCATAAGGAAGAAAGACGTAATCGCATAATTCCAATACAGAATAAAAAAAAACATCAATTATGAAATTACTGAATGATTATGAGAGACAACGCCTCAATTCTGAAAGGCTACTCAATTATTAGTTGTACTTAAATATCGTGCCATTGCTCATTCTACAAACGATTTTTAGTGACAGAACTATACATAAGCGCGACTTAAATTGTGTAACATTTGAGTATTTGGACATAAGAAACAAAAAACATTGATTTTAACTTTTTTTTAAAAATTCTTCTATAAAAACTTTTTTTTAAAAATTCTTCTATAAAATATCTTCAGTCTCCAGTAGACTTATAGAATAAATTGACCAAAAAACATAATATGTTATTTTTATATCCATATATTTCAATTAAACTAAGAAAAAAATATTTAATATGTCAGTCTATCGGTCAGTCCTCTAGTGAAGCTATTAAGCTCATACCAAGGTGTAGACTTCTATGGAGAAAAACGCGCAAGAAACTATGAAGTTTCTATGGAGAGTAACCTGTGGAGGTTACTCTTTTTCAATCAGGTTTACAACACAATTCTCTAGTTACGTAGTTTCGTTGGTAGAATTGTGTGAGATCAATGTAACAACAATATCCAGTCAAAGAGATCGAAAAAGAAATGAGATGTGTTAATTATGCATTAGCCACGTCTTTTTTCCTTACAAGAGTAGGGTAATGAAGATAATAATAATAATAATTATTAAACGCTATCAGAAATTACGCAGAGATTAGTACAAAGCGTAAAGTATTAAGTCGCCTCCGCACATCTATAGCTATAGGCCCAGTTCATAAATAGACACCGATATTTAATGAATATAAGATATAGGAAATCGTTATAAAAGGAAGCCATAATTAGTATTATTACTGAATAAAGGTGAGTGAAAATTAATGTGTAAAAAAATAAAACTTATTGTTTTTATAATAATTATCGTAAGATTAAATTAACTAAAAATCGCGGGTTACTCGCATGAACATACTAAGCTCTCCTAATATCGAACCACAGAGGGGATTAATCCTCATGAGCAGCAGCGTGCGCGGTCGCGGCGATGCATGTCACACAGCCTACTGATGAGGAAGAACCCCTCGGTGGTTCGAAATAGTAGTTTTTTCAGTATGCTCACGTGAGTAACCGGCGGTTTTTAGTTCAACCTATTGTTATTGTACAATGGGTAACAGGTATAATTTAAAGAGCCCAGAACCAAGTATCTAGCAGAAAATTTGAGATTTAAATTAAAATGTAAGAAAAAGTAACGATTGACTTTTAAAAATCTAAGAATCAAAATCAAAGCTAAGTAAATAACGATAGCAAATGATATTTATAAAAAAAACCATCGAGAAGTTCATATGGGGATATACTTTTTTCCCTTGCGCACAGAACCGTTATAAAATCATTTAAATAAATTATAAGTTTCTTTTGTAAGTAATTTTGTAAGAAATAAAAGGCTATTTTATTCCATTTTATTATGTATTATACTTTTTATTGCTAGACACTTTTTCCCAGGTTATAAATCTCCACCAGTTTAGCATAATAATATATTATACATGCTACACGTTGTACAAACGAAACATATTAAAGAAAAATCTAAACTAAAGTAAGCAAAACAAAAAAGTACTTAGCGAGACAGGCCTACACTGATGTATGAAATCGAATCTACGTACGAACTAACATTGAACTATATTACACACTGAACTGCTTTATAATAACAAATAATACCAAATTGTATACTAATAGTGTTGATAAAAAGCAAAGAATGCTCATAACAAAGCGACGTCGTTGCGCAACGCGGCATGCAACATGAATGCAGCAACAAATTGCAGTCAGTGTTACTATCAATATTAACCTTTTGACCGTCACGGTCGGGTATAGACGACAAACAAAAGCCGTGTTATACCGTCACCCTCTGCAATACCCGACCAGAAAACGTCAATTTAAAGCTTTGACTGCCAATAGAAAATTGTTGAAAAAAACACAAATCCTCTGCTAAAGTCGGTCTATCATTATCTACTATGGTTTAATCTGTTAAAGTACTGTTTGTCGTCTATAGCCGACAGTGACGGTTAAAAGGTTAAATATAAATGACTTACTTTAGACTCTCGTTACGCAACGCCGGTAGCATGTTAATAATCATTGCTTCTACTATTAGTTCGTCTATATTTGCCCCCGGAGGGGCGACGGGGTGGTATTCATAAAGCGACAAAGCTACACTGAATAATTTGAAAAAAGAAAACAATACGCTTCCGTTAGTTTTTGCAAAATATTATACTTTTGTCTGCACACAGAGTGACTTAATTGTTCCTGAAATATAATCTCGTATGGTTATAGAGCCCGTTTCCATACTCCACAAATTGTACAGGAGTGATAACGAGTAGCCTTCGTCAATATGAATGGAATGTCATTTATGTATGTCATACGGACGTCATATCTATCATTAAACTTTCATTTCAAGAGATGGATTCTTTGAGAACAGGGTAACTTATCATATTTTATTAGTATTTATTTATTTGATTTGGATCAGTAAATAAATTAGGTACCTGGTACATTTTTACTCGACTACAGGAAGTACTACTGTAGGAAGAGTATTGTTTTTATTAAAGGTTTTCATTTATAATATCGTCCATTTTTTAAATTATTACAAGAATTTAAATAATAACCCGTGTTCATGTCCATCTCTTTGTTTAACCAATCCTTATAAAGAATCCTCATAAGAAATTATGCTTCAGTAACAAGCGAGTCACCCTGTATAGTCGAGTTGAAATAAAAATGATAAAATAAAAAACAAAAGTGCGTATAATTTTCACTTTTCGAAAGAAAAATCGTTCCAATTCTTTGTTAAAAATGATAAAAAAAATATGGCCAATGATGAAATTAAAAATAAACAAAACACCGTGTATGTGAAACTGAACGTGGTTTTAGTGAAAAGCGTTAGTAAATAAAATTTTGTTATAAAAAAAAAATTACGAAAATATCTCAACAATTGTATTTTTGACAAAATGATTTTGCAATTAATTCATTTGTAAAGTGACTTGATTGATTCATAAATTAATCTTATAATGAAAATTTCTCGTTTATAAAACAGTTCTTCGTTTAAATTATTTTTTGAAGGACCAGCCAAACATTCGTTCTATAAATAATTAATATATGTTATATTCAGTAATCATGTATATCACGAGGTAAATTCAATAAGAAGTAAAAGAGGCCTCGTTACGTCATAACTTGGTTCAAAATAGTGACGTCATGAGTCATTTCGTAATACGTATTTGTTTTGTTAACCTGTCAGATGAACGTTAATTTATACTTCCGATGGTTTTAAAAACACAGCTAATTTATCAATTTGTATTATCAATTAAACACTATTATATACATACAATCACTTTATAATATTAGATAAAGTTTGACTGATCCTTGTAAAATATTTATTTGTAATAGAAAATTAGTTATCATAAAGTCCAACACTTACATTTCGATATCGGTCTTCAGTTTGTCGCAGACTTGGAACGAGTTGCATTTGACCAGCGCTCGACCTTCGCGGTCAATCAAACTAACTAGTTCCAAGGAATCTCTTTGGCTACATTTCGTTACTCTTACTAGAGTCGTTATGACCTGGAAAAAAGAAAGTACTTTTATAATTTTGGACTGCTTCTTTGGCCGAGTGGTCGCAAATGCGACTGCCGGGCGAGGGGTCTCGGGTTCGATTCTAGGGTCGGGTAAAATATTACTGGATTTTAAGAAAAAATCTCAGTAGTAGCACAGTCTGGAATTGTGCCCGGTATATGGCAATAGGCTCACCCCCTATTACATGGGACTCGTAACAAAAATAGTGAAAAGTGGGTGTTACACTGTACAGTGGCATAATGTGCGTCTCTGTCTACCCCTTTAAGGATAAAAGACGTGATGTTATGATGATGTTACTTTTATAATCTTATTAATAGTATAATTGCGAAATTGTACACAAAACACCGCTAATTAGTTCGTAGCACACATCGACACTACTATCATTTACACAATATACATGTGTGGGTAATTTCATATTAATAGATATGTATAGAAACATTCGTCAATCACACACATCTTGGTATTTAAATATCATTTTTGTGTCGGTATACGTAATAATTTAGTAAATAAGTTTAAATAAAAACGAGGGTAAAGATAAAAATACTCATAACAAACTTTGAATAAATCGAAATCAAATAATGAACGATCAAGCTATACTAAATACCCATATAAATATAGTGTTTTCTCATCGTATTTTTATGTTACTGAATGATATACAATATTTCGATGATCTCATCTACAGCGCGCTTGGCGCAATGGTTATCGCCTCCAGTTGTCGTCAAGTAATGTGCCGCCGGATCGATTCCGGCATTCACATGTTGTATTAGTATTAATTTATCAAATATTTGAAATTTGAAACAATTAAATCTTTTCTTTTTTTTCTTATCCTATTTTTCTAAATCTTATGTTAATTTTAATAGTAAATACTTTAGATTTATTTATACCTATAATATCTTTTATTTATATTTAGTTCTAGCTATTTATTATTTAGAATAATCTCATTTGCTTCATGCATTTCAACCAACTTAAATAAGATAAAAAACAGTAAAAAAGTAATAACTATGCTTTCTTAATGGTTGGATACCTGAGTATATTTGTAATGTTTGTGGCGACCATGGAATTTTATTTTACCCGCTTATGAAGAAACTACCGACTATATAAAACAAGTTTTTCAAATCACCCGACTTACAAAATAATTGCGTTCTTAGTTGTCAAATGTATGAGGATTTCATAGTTTATTGCTACGCTACTCATATTCGAGTGCAAAGTTATTTTTATTTTTACAAGATGTTCCAACACCTATCAACATTTAAAAAGGCTGAAATCATTGTTTTGCATGAGCAAAACATACCAATAATTGAAATTGCAAGGCGTTTAATGATATCGGTGAGTAAATAATATACTACGTTGATATTCTATCTAGTTGATATTGTGTTTATAATTTATATCTAGTTGATATTGTGTTTATAATTTAAAGTTATTTATAGATATTAATTATATTTATTATTATTTTTAAGTAACTTTAATTCCTGTAAAGTATTTCCTGGTATTTTAAATACTTATTTGTTTGGTATCAACAGAGGAGATCCGTGCAGTTATGGGTGCACAGATATGCGGAGACCGGTGACGTTGAACATCGTCGACGTGGGCCTAAACCAAAGGCAAATTCATCGGCTCGGCACTACGACATCGTAGTCAGGCACAAGGCTGATCCGTTCCTGCCAACACACACTAAAGTGACAGCACTGAATGTTTCAATACAAACTGTACGGAGACACCTGCATTCTGCTGGTTTAAGGTGCAGAAAGCCAGCGAAGAAAATATTGTTATCTGTGGTGCACCAGCAAAAGCGATTAGAATTTGCTAGGGACTTTATTAATTTTGATTGGGCGAACAGTGTGGTTATATTTAGTGACGAAAACACTTTCAAGTCGGATAAGGATGGCGTAAAATATTGTGGAGAAAAGATGGAGAAAGGTATACGAATTGTAACCTTCTGCCTTGTAGGACCAGTGGCCGTATTACTGTCGGGTATTGGGGTTGGATGTCTTTTATGGGTCCCGGTGAGCTCGTGGAAATATCTGGTCTCAGTAACAGTCATGATTACTTGAATATTTTACAAAACGTAATGTAGCCTTTATTCAAATTAACTTATAATAATGTTTATATTTTTTAAGAATATTAAAATGCTGTCTAGAGCATACGGTGAAGTGATGTTATTGTTTTGTGGTTAGAAATTGTCATAATTTCTTTCTATTCAACATGTTGATTCACTTCACTTTAATTTTTCATTAACAAATTTATTTAACTGATTTCGAGCTTGATTGACATATTATATTTACGCACATCTTTAACTAATTTAAAGTTTCCCTGAATCTAAAGGTCATGAATGTTAAAATCGTTCCATAGCATTTGACACATTTTTTTTAGTAACATACAGCCTCTGAATATTGAACCTTATAACAACGGTCGTAAAATAGATAATTAATTGAAGATTCCAATGACAAAAAGTCGCCCATTTCAAGAAATAACATGTTAAAATTTCAGTGTATTTTTTTTTACATGTTTTACTTGTTTATTACTTAATGTTTTATTAAATTACAAAACAAAAATGTTGTATTTGTTTATTACATAATAAAAAATGTTGCTGCCATCGCATTACCGCATGATACTTCCCGATTCGACTACTTATGAGGTTTATTATCATATCTATTAATTATGATTTAAAGAACTTTAAACTTAACATGTGGTATATAATTAATTATTAGATACAAATATTGAATATAAAAGCACATATTTGTATAATAAATAAATTAATTGTAATAAAAATTGGTATTGTTTTATTTACCGACTCATTTGCTTCTTTTATAGCCTGATATAATATTACAAAAAACAAAAAAAAAATTGAAAAAAACTTTTAGCTGGAATAGAACCCACATCATCATTGATCCTTGAAAGACGATAAAAGCGTGCTCATTAACCAATCGACCACGAGTACTACGATAATGACAGTGAAAATGTCGGGTCATATCAATGATTGTAAATAGTTTTAACCTTACCCATGCATTAAATTATAAAAATACGTATACCGACAAAAGAATGAAAATACCAATGTGAATGTGGTGGACGAATATTTTTATACACAGTAATATGAAATTACCCACACATGCACACTGTGTAAATGACAGTTGTGTCGTTGTTTAGCGCTGCTAACTAATTAGCGGTGTTTTGTGTACGTGTATGTTTGTTATTCAAACATGACAAAACGAATGAAGGGAACGGTATGAAAATTGGAACAGAGATAGACTGCGACCCCTTCTTTCTCTTTAAAAAAAAAGCATTGCCCCACATTAGGGTGTATTCTGTGTAGTGGGTGAGTTTATAAACATACAACTTCACATGCACACAACACCCAGACCCGAAATAACAATTTGTGGATCACACAAACAGTTGCTCCGTACGGGGATCGAATTCGCTACACGTTGCCCGGTTGTCCAGTCACCGCGCCGATCATGCAGTCAATCAGATCTAAGGCCTTAGTACGATTTTCTTTTTCGTTTTAAATAATCGTAACGAGTACGCGTTCTGCGTTGTGATTGGCCGGCTCCTATGAACATAAGCTATTTTTTTTTCAACGGTAACACGGGCGAAGCTGTTGGCAGAAGCTCGTATACATATTAACATTGTATCGTGAGAGTCAGCTGCAGGACTAAGTTGCTTTAACACTAGAAAGGTCGAGAATCGAAATGACCCAGTGGTAGTTCTACGTAAAACATTATTTTATTTTTTAAATATATTTTTTCCCACTGAAAACAATAATAATAACAAAGTCGCTATCCGCCATCTGTATGTCCCTATGTATGCTTAGATCTTTAGAACTACGCAACGGATTTTGATGCGGTTTTTTTAATAGATAGAGTGATTCTTAAGGAACGTTTATATGTTATGTCATACATATTGCACCCGTGTGAAGCCGATGCGGGTCGCTAGTTAAAATACAATAAATAAAACGCTAAAACTTTCACGCACTTCACTTTGAAAATAAAAAGATATAAATTATCATACTTGCAAATGGGAGAAAATGGGACGGCGGCCTTTCTAGTGTTAAAGGTTTGCCGCGAACTCTTGGCTTAGTGTGGAGTGTTAGAGATCGTAATTTATAAGTTTTTTAAATTATATTGTGATCTGGATGTCAAGTAGCATGTGAAACTTTGTAAACATATTGCCACGGGGCAACGTATATCAAGAAAATAATAATAAGACAAAGTCATAAAATGTATGAACATACCTGATCAAACGTATGTGTCTCGTCGTTATAGAGGACTGTGCAGTAACAGTCTGGTTGGTCGAGGATCTGTAGCAGGTCGCGCTCCGCGTCTTTCAGCCTGCAAGGTGTTAACGTACTATTCTTTGTATTATAAGCAGTCTTTTTATTTAACCGAAGCTTACGTTTCTTTAAGTTTTCGTTGAAAATATATGAGATATTTTTTCTTTTTGTTCCCCGCTGTGTACGGCAAAGGTGAGCTAGTGAACGAGGAAGCCACTCTAAATTGACAATTATTTCATTGTACTTTCGACTATATATTAAAGCAATAAAGTTGAAAACCTAATAAAGAAATTAGACAAAAAGAAGAAGGAAGGTTCACTGCTTGAAATAGGTTGCTGGCGTCTGTACTGGGATTTTCTTTTTAAGCTAGAGTTGTCACAAGTGTGTATTGCCAACCTTTGAGGGGACAATAAGGGGACATTCTGTGAGTAATGGTAACATTTACCTGAGATCATTGGGCAGTCCGGGCGCATGGTCGTGTGTCAGCAGTCGCAGACAGTATGAGAGGGTGACCGACGCCACTATCTTCATACGTTCCACTACATCTGGTTTAATGGTAGCCTCTTCCTGCTTGTCGTCTTCAGACGCCTGAGAGACAAAATTTAATCAATCGAAGGGTAATTTTTTTCACTAGTCTTTCTGAAAGACACATAGAAGTGACTAACATAAAGGAGTCTCGTTGTTAATAGAAATAACTTTCTCCACTGATAGGTTATTTCTTACTTTAGTACTTCTTACTCATACTCCTAAACACAATACAATCACACGTGGTCTATTGTTTTTAATAAATTTTATTCAAGCATCATTGCCGATGGTCAACAAAAGGAACACGTCTTTCTCTCAAAAAAAAAAAAAATTAAAGGCTAACACTAATTGAGATGTTGATGATGAAAGTTGCTAACAATGAGTATTAAAACTAGGAGAGAATATTGATGACATTAGTACTACAACATAATTATGTGAGTGCATGAAGTATCACAACGAAAACGAATATGATTTTTTTTTTATTTTAAGGGGGAAAATCATCGAATGTCTGCTCCCGCCTGGGTGAGGCGGGAGGGAGTGTCAGACTCTTACTGACTAAAAACCACCCCGTTCCTTCCACTGTACGTCGAGTCGGAGCCCCGGTTACCTGTTAGGTTCTCCGCGATAAACGAATATGATTAGAAGTTTACTTACCGCGTGTAACTCGCAGAAGGGATCTCTCTTCCAAGCCTCGGTGTCGCCACAGTCGCAGCAGCCCCCGCCGCTGGACTGCCCCATCTTATACTTGTGGTGCCGGTGCGCTGACACCTTGAAACACTCGACGCATAAAACGCAAGTGTTGTCCATACCTGAGGAAATACAAACAATAAATAAAAATAGCTGAAAAATATAAGGCCCAATTCTACCATAACCAAATCCCTAACCCCCAAAACGCAATTATATCGCAACGACTCTAATGTTGCGAATCACCATAGGCGGGACCGATTGCTTACATTACAATCAGGTGATCTATCTCCTCGTTTTCCGTCTTATATCATTAAAAAAGCACGAGTTAAATTAATGTCTGCTTGGTAATTTATAAGCATAACTGAAAAAGGTTTTATTTGAAAACATTAACGATGCAGTTTTTCTTGCTCGTTAAATCTCCGAAGAATACCAAGAAGAATGCTAAAGAACTTCTAGCACTATCGGATTGGTCACACAGTCGATGAGGCAATTGCTAGTCGGAACATTACATGCAGTTACATTTTGGGACTTAGTCAAAGTTGCTAACCCAAAATAGAGACTAACTCCTTACTCCTCTTTACTCTAACTTAACAACAACATTAGAAAATTCTTAAAACTTTCATATAATCTGATACTGACCACATTCCCTACAGCTGTACGCTGGATCACCCTGCTTGAACACTCGCCCACAGAGGGTCGACCGTCGTGGTAACGGCGGCTGCGATCCATCGCTGTTGCCCCACACAAACTGCTCCAGGGGCTGAATAAGTAGATCAGCTGCTAGGTCTTCGTCGAAAGAATAGTCTGCAATAATAGGGTAGTATGGTTGGTTAATTTTGTAGGTAGGGGGCCTTGAATGGCCTGACTCCGTCCAGAAGTTCCATTCTGTTACCAACGTTAAGTTATTACAGTATAATGTTGCTATATTTCATCTGGTCACTGTGATTTTCAATGTTATATGGTACAATCAACCGCACAACGGTAAAAAAAAAACTACACAACACATAAAAACATTTTCCAATTTACATTTTCTTCATTAAATTAAAAATAAGATCGGCGTTTATAAACAAATGTTTAAATGTTTCAACGATATGGGTCGACTATACATTTGAAGCATTAGCTTCATAAATTCAGCGGGAGCATTGACCCCGGGCCGTGCATAATAATATCTAGTCTGAATTCGACACATTCCTCGAATAGAGAGAACTAACAGATTTTGTATGCGTACATTACCCCAACCGATTACCTCGTCGCGTCGATTTAATGATCGCGCGTCTATTCTGTACCTCTACCACGAGTTAACTTTTAAAGTAATAGTATTTGTCAATACTCGATAGCGACGACGTAATTTTCATGGTAAATTTTAGTTTCCCAAGTGACCGCTACAGGCACTGTAAAATTTGCCAAACAACAATTCACGTGGTCGCTATGGAGTACCGACAAAATAGACATTGATAACACTTTAAACTCATGGTATAAGCCCGGTGTACTGCGCAGTGATGTGATAGAATCCCTATTTCATGGCATTTATAACTGGCAAGTAATAGTGTCACGTTTAACACGTGAAGTGCACTTCCAGCTATTTCAAAAACATGGGTGTTCCGTTCACAGTACTTCGGTACAAAAAATGTTGCAATGTATATTCAATTTGTTTATTTGGTACACAGCAGTGTGTAAGGTAAACGATAACTGGAATGTCGGTGGGACGTGAGCTAGAATCGTTCAAGTGAATTATTGCAACATTCAGGTACAAGAATGCATAGACTTCGTACGTCGAGTATAATCTAATATTTAAAACACAAAACTTGATGTAAATAGAAGTGCACTTTGTACGTAAAATAGGTACATTATTCGTAATTCCTATAAATCAATTTCTAATAATATAATTCTATGAAGTCAATTGTTAAAAACAACGCAATAATTCATCATCAAAAACATAAAAATATAGTCATATTTAATTAATAGCTTTTGCCAGCGGCTTCGCCCGCGTTCCCATGGTATTATTAAAATTAGCCTGTTTTATTCCAGACCATAATCAATCCCTGTTCCATCCAACCCGTTTTGACGTGATCAACTAACAAACATACACACAAACTTTCATATGCATTTGATTAATAACATTTTACATATAGGTAGTACTTTTTCGATCTTCAGACTCGAAAGTTCAACATCCGATCGCTCATATTCATTTATGTTAAATTTTAATTTACGTATAAAACTTACCTACGTACGGGTATTGAAGTGCCTATTTATAGACCTTCCTACCTGTACTACTTTCCTTTTTAGGTCAGTGACCGGTCGCTGACCGCATTTGGGTAACAAGGTGAGCATGAAACAAACTACCTTTTTAAGAGTTACATATAGCAGAAGCGCATAAGGAAAACAGTTGTTATAAGATAATTTATTAACGTTCAACTTTACATACATAATTTTCGCTGTGATTACGTACGTATTTTAATTATTTCCTCCAACCTTCCCCAAGAATTTGTTTCAATAATTATTCTAGACAAGTAAAATATTGTTAAAAGAAATGACAATAACATGCAATAATAATAATCTTAATTTCAAAAGTCACGTCTCTTAAACAATTTAAAATAGGTGCAACACCGACGATGCGTAGAAACATAATGTTAGTCATAACACTCCAGTATCGATTTTAAAGTAGTTACTCATTCGTAATGAACAAAGCCGGAAGCTCCATATTGCATGCAAGGAAGGCATGCAACTAATGGCTGCGGACAACCCTTTGACATTTACAGCACGCTAGGGAAAGTTAGCTAGGTTCACATCGATCTACACAAGACCAGTTTATCATGTCTTGCTTTGTATAATCTTTCCGCTTATTCGAAGGTCAGTTTATATAAGTTATGCATAGCTTGATAAGCAGCAGAGTGAGTTACTAGCTTGCTAGAATATAATGAGTACGGAATGGCTAATCCTAAGTCATAGAAATGAAAGTGATTTTTATCATTACCATCAACTGCTCATTAGTGTCCATTGCTTAACAATGGGCGTCCTCGACCTATGAGGGTTTGGACCACGTCTGGTAGCCGGGTTAGGTTAGAATGTTAAATCTTACTTAAAAAACGATGTATGGACGTTTGTCGTAAACTTTTTACGCAAAAACTACTGGGCGGATTTCAATAAAATTCAGCACAGGAATAGCTTATAGTCTGGAATAACGCAGGCTTTTTTTAACTCAATAACGTGGGCGAAGCCGCTGGCAGTGAAGCAAGTTTTTAGAATAAGCAGATACTTAAATAAAACAAGGATGAATGATTTGCGTATCAAATATTTATCTGATTTGATAAACCTCTTCATTCTGAAAGGTTTTCTATGTAATCTGTTTTTGTCAATCTCGAGTTGACAGACTTGATTGTTTGTTATTGCTTACATTAATAATTCTTTACGGGCCGATTTTTCAAACATCAGTTAAGCTGTACAATAAAATTGACAGCTGACACTTTTTAGTATGGGAGAATAGTCAAATATTGAGCGTTATTCCTCATTTAAAATTTACCTGAGCATCGAAAAATTGGCCCTAAGAGCTGATTTTTCAATCATCAGTTAACTGTGGAATAAAATTGACATTTGACAGTTTTTAGTATGGAAGCATTGTCAAGTTATACACACAAAACTTTTTTTTATTTTAGATCTCTCGATAAGGTGACGATTTTACTTTTATTTTGGCGATTAGACATGCCTTATTTTTGTAGCTTGATATATAAAAGGCCAAATCAAATCAAATCACTTTAATGCATGCGTGTACAGGGTGGTGCACAATTTTTTGACATAATGTGTTCTTATATTAACATTATCAATATTAAATGTTGTTAATAATTTTAGAATTTAATTATCAACAACATTATGCCAGGAAAAAGCTGCCTTGAATTGTAAATATTAAAATGGACTATCAAAAACCGCAGAGCATTATCCAGTATGATCATTACATTTTCCGCAAGTTCGGATAAAATAACATTGTTTACTCGAGTCGAAATTGTCGACTCATGTAAACATGTTCGTAGAAATAAATGTCCGGACATGAACGGGATGTGTTCTAGAATTATTTATCTATTGTTTCTGTGACAATGCTCATTAAAAATATAGCTCATTTTTATTTAACTTTACTTCTATATCTCTGACTTATATCATCATCGTCCATTTCTGTCCACAGCTGGACATAGGACTCTACAACACCAGGTGTTGTGTTTTTTTTTTAATATGTCGTTCAGTTACACATTATTCCTGTTACTTGTACTTGCACGTAAGCCACTGCTCCTTACGATCACATTATAGGTTTCGGCCCTCAAAAATGGACAGGAATAGAAAATGGATTTTTTTCGTCTCTCATCATTATTGTTTTTGTAGTCTCAGTACATATGACTAAAGTTCAATCCTAATCACTATCTTATTAAAATATTGACTTGCTAATGAGACTTTAGACTACCAAATTAATGCCCCAAATGACTTCAAAGTCATTGTGCTTAGTTGATTATAGTTTAATGTCCACAGTGTAGGTCAAAAATCAGAATTCAAATTTTATACATACATAGACACACATGACTTTTTCCCATTGGGTAAGCAGAGACAAATAATCAATGAATCTAGAGGAAGCATAAGAAAAAACAATACATAATTTGAAAAACTTACCTAAACAAGTCGTGTTAGGTTGTGGAGAGTATATACTGGGGACATTGACTCTCCAGTGGTCCAGGAAGTGCGCTGGTGCCAGTACACCTTCCTCCATCTTCGACCTCCATAGCTCCACCACAGCCTCACCTCGGCTAGGCAACGCGAACCTGTCACACATTGTCACTATGTCACTGCTGCACTACAAGCTAACTCAAATTTGACTTTGGTTAAGTATCATTGTTATTAGCACGCGAACTTCAGTTTTGTCAACCACTTAATTACAAATATTAGGAAACTCAGTCAATTTATCACAAAATCATACTTCAAAACCGCGTTTTCTTCCTTCATCCATACTCTTGGCATTTAAACTCTTTTAATTAACCACTAAATAAAAAATAAAAAACGTTCGAATTTCAAATATGAAAAACGCAGCGACCATTCGCCACGGTTGTAAACAGCGTACTGGCCAACTGGCCACTAATATCTGGCACAACGCCACTATGAAAACCATTCTATATATAAAAAATCTAAACAAGAATAAATATCAAGAACAAATAAAAACAATACAAATTTTAACCTGCAATGTGACATTTATTTGTATGTTTATAAAGTTCAAAGTTGCTTGTCCTTGTGCCCTGTGAATTGAACAGTATTGTCGCGTGAATCATTTTGCCAACGTCCGTGATGCATTCTCATTACCGGTCGATACAATTTGAAAGGTAATGATTGATTTTATTATTTATTGAACCATTTAGTCGTTACCATGCCAAAGCACCTAAGTAATTAAGTACCTAATGAAATTATTTAACTCGTCGAGTACCGGTTTTGCAGACACAATTATAGAACAATAGGTTGCGGTCACCGGTGACCGCTTGGTGTTTGACAGTTTAATGATGCTACGATTCACTCATTTTAATTGAGATCTTTGAAGTCGGTCACGATGGGAAAAACTCGTTTGACATCATGAGAAAAAGAGTAGTATACCAATTTTTTAAATGAACTTATATTCGATTCTTTTATAAATTACGTTTAAAAAACTGACATAGACACCCTCTCTTTTGGAAATCGGTTAACTAATATGCTAAAACTTTCTCCTAAGTTTTTGCTTCTCCTCACTTTTCTGAAAATCGGTTCAGCCAATCGCGAGACAATCGCGCACAAACATACACACATACAGGTCAAACTGAGAACCTTCCTTTTTTTTTAACTCGTCGAGTACCGGTTTTGTAGACACAATTATAGAACAATAGGTTGCGGTCACCGGTGACCGCTTGGTGTTTGACAGTTTAAGTCGGTTAACAAAGGAAATGTGTTGTATATTCGGATATAAGAACTGTATGAAGCATAATGTTATTTTAGTACCTACGTAAACTGTACTGCTAATGTAAATCGAGTAAATTCTGATGAATACGATGAGACCAGTTCCCAATAGTATTTGTTTTTAGAATAAATAAATGCTTGTGAAATAACTTAATAACAGTAGTTATTCGCGGAACTGGATGTTATCATGTCTAGTAGGTAGTCAGTTGAAGGAATTATAACAAAATCAGTCGGGTAACAACACATATACGCAACCTTAGCATCGCGGGATTATACTTAGAATCATTTAGAATGGATGTTTCGAACTAATTGAACGTCTAATTTGATAATTTCCAATTAATTTTGTTGTGACGTCATTATTTTGCGCGTTAACTGGCAAGATATTCTCATGAAATAATGTCATAATTATCAGCCTGTGATACTCTACTGGGGGACTACGGAGCTCCTTTATATTTGTAAAAACGTACAAACTAAGATTACAAACAAATCACTTGACAATAATAATAGCATTTTATTTTTCAAAGCGAAAAAGCCTTTCGAAAATAGCCGCCAATGGAACCAGACCACCCACCTAACACGTGGGACCGTTCTCATTTGTAGAGGCAAATAGTTTCGTTTTAAAAATAAGTCACAACAATTTTATATCTAAACCTTCTGCAATAAACAAGCCTCTAACCAGGCTGACAGGCGCAGTCAAAAATAAAAGTACTAAAAATAATTTCAACGAAAACATCAAATTCAGTTCAGCAGTTTCTGAGATTGCTTCTCATATGCGAACCCACACTGTTTATTTATAATAATGAGTGGACGTCGCTAGCTATGTTTCATTGCGTTATAATTAAATTACAAGCCCCAGGGTAACACATAGGTATTTCGTATACCTACAGTGACATGTTTAGGTATTGTGTTATTTTCCTTATTTTATTACTATGATAATATGCATATTTGAATGTTTCCTACAAAAACAATAGGTACAAGAAAAATTCTTATTTTCCTTTAAAACATTTGCCCACTGCTGAGCAAAGTCTTCTCACGCGGAGAAGGTTTGAGCATTAATTACCACGCTTGCTCAATGCGGGTTGGCGATGTCAAACTTATAACTAGAAATTAAAAGCCCAGTCTTACGATGTTTTCCCCCACCGTTTGTCAGTGGTGTCTAGATAATCTTAGGAAGAACATATAACTCGGAAAAAGTCACATTGGTACTTGCCGTTGGTAGGAACCGGCATCCTCATACATGAGAAGCCACTTCCGTGCTATTGTGACTACAGAGGCCTTAGTACAAGTTTGTTTCACGTTTAAAGTAATCGAAACGAGTATGTGTTCGGCGCTCTGATTGGCCGGCTCCAATGAACTAACCAATCGGAGAGCTGAAGGCAGTCTGGTTACGATTACTTTTAACGTAATACAAACTCGTACTAAGGCCTCTGCTTAAGTATGTGTTCTTTATGCAAAAAGGCAAAAAATGATTTATGTATAATGAAAATAATCATGAAATTTGTGTTAATACACATAGGTACAAACCATGTAGTTTTGGATGGCCAAAAGCCCTCAATAAACATTATTTTTCTAATATTAGAAATATGATTTTACGTGTGTCACGTTCACGTTGCAATGCAATTACGCAATGGTGCCCACATCTGGCGAACTGACTGACTAGTGCTAGTATTTTCACCTATTGGATCACGTTAACATTAACAGAGATTCGTATTTGTCCAAGCTTTGTTAATTTTTTGGAAGGACCTCTTATAGTTCCGTACGCTAAGGCTGTTGACTACTACTCCTCCTCCTTTGTAAGGTGTAAACAAAATCAACCTAAAAACTAAATGACAGCATCAGTGAGGGGTGCCCTCACTGATGCTGTCATGGGGGTTTGAACCTCGAATCATTTCGGTTGGGAGAAAGGGCAGTGCAGTTACATGGCAATGGGACAGATTGTATATTATAGTAATATTACTATGGCGTCCCATGTCGATTCCAGTAGCGCCTGAGAACAGGCGTTATCGTATGAAGAAGAAAAATATACGTGAGCTGGTCGTAAGCGAGTAGCTTCGTTTAGATCTAGACGCACTTTAATGCCCATATTATACTAGTCACATTCCAAAACGATTATTACAATCTAATTTTTGTTATTAATATTCATAGACTCATTAAAAACATCACTTATGCCTTACGTAACCACACATTACCGTTCTTAGGAAACATACAGAACTAACTTTGTTCTAGACCGATTATTATCTGCCAATTATTAGAATCAGGAAATGCTAGGCTAATATTCTGTAACTTTCAATTCGAAAGATCGAAGTGATCTCGATCGCGGTGAGACATGTCATTGGTTGTGAGAATAATCTCGACCAATGATGTGCGAGAATGCGATCGAGTTCACTTCGACAGTTCGAATGTCACAGTTACAGAATAGTCTACCTGATGGGTTTACGGAACTGGCAATTAACACTCAGAGATAGTCCACTGCTGAACAATGGTCCTCTACATAAAAAGGGATTTACTATAGCATCCATCATAGGTTAATAGGTTCAGTTCTATCAGGGTGCTTAATCTTGAAACCAATCTCAGTGCCAATGCAATTGTAATCCAATGAAAACTCAATAATTATACAATGTCAAAACTAAACAACCCCTATCGCAGCTGTTTAAATAGCATTCAAAGTACGGAATATAAAGCCAAACTCAATACCATTTAGTTCATTAAATACCCATGCAATACGGATGCAATGGGCGCTATTGTTGAAATTCAAGAATACGAACTTTTACAATATCAATGTCGAATTGTCGATTGATCGGAATTGGATTCAAAAGTAAGTCCACAGACAGCGCTGATGCCCGGTCTCTGAATCATAACAAATTATTTCTCTTATAAATACTCTACATAACTATAATAAAATTGCAAAGACCACATATTCGAAGTAAATACATTACCCCAATTCTTTGAAAGTCGGATAAAATACGAGGCGGGAATCGAACTACCTAACGAGAGTCGGACGCATTAGAGAAAGGGGACAAATATATTTATGTTCGAGGAAAATAACTTTTATACACACAGCTTAGATTCTGAAAAATAAAAGTGATAAATACGACCTGAAGGCTAGATAGATATAACAAATTATATATGTCGGAATGTTTTTAAAAAGTTGCGTAGTTCTCAGTTTTATTTCTAGGCTTGATTCCTAAGCAGAAAATCCCTAAGGGTCTGAATTTCTATGAGCACAAAGGTTTCTAGTGCGACATAATATAGGTAAATCTACCTGATCATTCCATATCCTCATTCTACCTAGAGACTCGAGTCTCTGTGAATATGACCTGCAGAACAATAATATGAACTAACTCGGAACTCAGAAAATTATAGCTAATGCTTAATCCAATCTCCGAAGCATATAAATATGAGCTTCTTTCAAAAATAAACCTGCTAGCAGAGCGTGGAGATTGCGGCAAACTCTTATGTATGCCCTCAGGAGACCAACAGAAGACAAAGGCCGATTTTTCCTACACCAGATAAATTTTTAACTGAGGAATAACTTTGAACATTTGACAATTCTTCCATACTAAAAACTGCCAAATGTCAATTTTATTCAACAGAAATAAACTGATGATTGAACAGTCGGCCCTAAGTATCATATCATGTCGCGGCGAACCTAACGGGTTACCGGGGCTCCGGCTCGACGTGCAGGAGAAGGAACGGGGTGGTTTTTAGTCAGTTAGAGTCTGACACTCCCTCCCGCCTCACCCAGATGGGAGCAGTCATTCGATGATTTTCCCCCTTTAAAAAAAAGTATCATATCATGGGCTGTGGATGTGATGATCAATCAATAAAAGTACGTCGTCATTCCTGATCTTATACTTATGACACATGCAATGTAATTGTACATGCAGTGTAATTGTAAATAACAACTAACGACTTATCTAAATGTCAATGACCTTCGTTTGATAATAAAATAGCAGTATTTCGAGAAAATTTCAATTTTCCCGATTTCCACACAACATTCGATCGAATATTCTGGAAATATGTCTAGCCGTACACGCAGACATCGCGTGTTTACGTTTTTTAAATAAGAATTTCGTTGGCATGTGTACTGAACACTTACTTTAGTTTAATTGTTTACTTCATTACATTATGTAACGCTGAACGCTTTGTTACATTATGTTCTTAAAGAGAATGGCTCGTTTTATACATATATTTTTAGTTACTTTTGAGAAATTGTTAAGACATGAATATGAGATTTAATATCTGTTAGTAATGACTTACGTTACGACTTAAAATATAGAACTTTATTAGTTTTATGGATACAGAAAAAAATAAACTTATTGTTATAATAAATGGTTTTTCATTATTTCTGTTGAAGATTAATTTTAAGAAACTAGCTTGAGAACACAGATATAATAAAGAATTTTTTAATATTTCTGTGCTTGAGAACCTCCATCTAGTTTTTTTTTAAATTACTACTCGAAATCTTCATTACCATAATTTTGGAAAATTATACACACTACGACAATGCCACAATAAAGCGTGTATTAACCTTTCGTGTGTCTAAAACGTGGATCCACGTGAGACAATGTATTTTCTATTGTGTCTCATATCGGTGCATTCAAAAGGTAAATAACGAGTTTATGTGAAAATTGCGTTTAAAAATCGACCGAATTCGAAATCGAATCGACGTTTTTCCGGATCGTCCTAATAAGTTTGCGGCGATAAACACCATATGCAGGTGTAACCTTACGAGAACAAAGCTATGAAGTCATGTCATGACGTAGCTATGTGACCATCTATATAAAGAACGAACACACGCAAGGTAATAATAAATATGAGTCAGTGCTTCACACAATCGGTATCAGCAAATAGTAGACAACCTCGCGCCTAGATGACCAACAAATCATGTATCGCTTGAATCTAGATCATTAACCAGAAAAACTCGGTCACTCAACTTTATCAATCAACTTCTAACTCTATTACTATAAGTTAAGGTTGATAATTGTATGGGGTAGTAAGATAGCATTTGGCATTTTGCCAGGCAGCCTCTTCAACGTCACTACCTGTTCTAAAAGACCTTGGGCGCGACACTGAACTCATTCAACGAAGGTTGCTCTTCATGCCGTCCGCGAAGGTGTTTGAGGGTAAAAGGAAAATAGAATCCGTCAAGTCAGCTAGTACTAAAATAATATCGTATGATGATAATAATAATAATAGCATGTAATATTCCTTTTAGTCACTTGAAACAGATAACCACATTCAAAGTATGCTGGAGGGCTATTTCGAAAACTCAGTAAAAGGTAATAATCCCCATAAAATGATCTGTGTTGAAACACCAACTCGAAAATTCATACTCGATCAGTAGTACTATCGGAAAATTTCTTAACAAGGCAGTCATGCCACGAACGTCATAAAATGCAATTCGAAGTGTGTGAACACCACAAAGTTATTGCATAGCCACGTTGTCACCTATAGTTTGGAAAATAGGATTTCATTATCGGACTTTCCACGCTCTCTCGCGGTTCTATAAAGCGGTTACCATTAAAGCGCGTAATGGACGCAGATACGTTATCGTGCAACCCAAGGTGATTGTAGTAAAACATTTCCCCACTTTCAGTTAGTTATGTAAATTTTCGTGGAAATAATCGACATTGTATGATTGGGAAGGTTTTAAAATAGAAAATCTTCTTCAATCATGAAAGTCAGACTCACAAGTGTACTCTTTGGGCTGCGGATAAAGCGCATTACGTTAGTCGTAAACGTTACCATGGTTCAAAGCATGCGTTGAAACAGGGTGTTTTTAGTCAGTAAGAATCTGGACTCTCTTATGTCTGCCCTGAATTCCACCTTACACGTGTACTTTCTCTTCCCTTACTCATATATTATAACGAGTCTAGGCATACAGAAATGACCAGAAACAGTATAGATTCAGAACCAACGATTTTATATTAGCCAGATTAGGACAATAGGCAAAATAGGATTGACAGAGATTTGAAACAAAATGCTGATTGTAACACACCCTTTCTCGCTGGGTTAATTAAACTGTCAAACAACGAGCGGTCACCGGTGACCGCAACCTATTGTTCTTTAATTGTGTCTATAATAACGGTACTCAAAGAGTTAAATAACGGTAAAGCACAATACTCCTTGATGGCACGTGTACACTTGTCTGCAAGGAATTTAATAAATATACGGAAGAAGGGAAATAATGCCTTTTACACCAGAACATAGAGGTTGCTTTTAATTACATTGCGGAAATAAGATTGTGAGTTACAAATGGAGTGAATAAGGTGGCCTATATGGCTCTGCTTTATAAAAGGGCTTATAAATTGATGCCTTCTAATGCAGAGCACGTGTGACTGAGGGTTACTAATAGACAGTAGTCGATCGCATTCGCGCCTCATTCACTTACAGGAAGTTAACTAAAATAATATTTCTAAAATCGTAGATTAATGATGGATTGCGTTTTTGTAATACCTATAATTGGAAGCAAGTATAACAGCTCACACATAGGACTCATTTAGTTTTTAGTCAGATTTTCCGTGATCTCTTTTAGGGCATTTAGGCTCAAATTAATTCTGTCTCCTGCAGTAATTCACCGAGGGAAGTGGAAATTGTCAATGTTTTTTTTTCTACTCATATAATATCTTCCGATTCATTTAATTACGGGAACCAAGTCAGTTATTCCTGTCCCTAAGATGCGCCGGACTACAGTGTTCCGGTGTTTTCATGGTTGTATCTACTGTAGATCCTGGCTTTAAAACAGATGCAGAGGTATTGGGAAATTGTGGCGGGCTTGTTAATTAAAAAAAAGACTGAGTCCAAACGAAAATGAATTATATAATATCGGTGCAAAGTCTGTATTATCGTAAGCGCACACATGCCACAAGATAAGCAAATGGATGTGGGTCAACCAACGTAACGAGGTTCAATACTTACAGCATAGATAAAAAATAAAACATTGTGACGTCACTGCATACTCTAAACTCTTGCATTATCTGTGCTGCACAATATGGAGGAAAAATGGTAACATTTTAATGTCACCTATATTTTTCCTTGTGATATTTTTAATTAACATAATTATGTTTATTGCTAATAGGGCTTTGAAATTTGGTTGCCAATAGAAAACTGTTTCGGGCAATTCCTCCGCTAACGTCGGTCACCGATGACCCCGATGGCGTTTAACGTGTTTATTACATTTTTAAACTGTCAAACACCAAGCGGTCACCGGTGACCGCAACCTATTGTTCTATAATTGTGTCTACAAAACCGGTACTCGACGAGTTAAACCTGTATTATATCATCTAACAGCAATTTAAAATTACGGTCCTGTGGTTTTCCTTGTTTATAGATATATATAGGTACCTACTTGTTATAATAGGTAATTTACTGGTAGTAATATAACATCTACTACATTCTACTGCATAAATTAATGTAAAGGAAATCTTCCTTATGTAGAGAAAACGTTGGTGATGATGTTGATACTGTCATATACGAACACTTATTAACCGACTTCAAAAAGAAAAAGAAAGGTTGTGGTTATCAGTTTGACTTGTATGTATGTTTGTACGCAATTATCTTGAACTGAACCGATTTTGATTAATTTATCAGAAAAGTCCATTACCTTCAGGAGGTTGTATTTGTATATTAATTAACCAACTTCAAAAAGGGAGCGTTGAAGTCAGATTATTAAACCCATTTTATAAAATAATAATTATTAATGTTTTAAATTAAATGCAGTCAATTAACACATGTAACAAATTCAACTTGCATAATTATGAATTGTTAATCTGATGCAATTATAAAAATTATGTTACAATGTACCCAGATATAAATATTACAATACTTACGTAACTCCGTAATTGATCATACTTTTGATTATTTTACGTCCGCCTTTTATTTAACTATTTATCTTCATTTCGATGACTTTGACAATCACAATCGAATGATAAAAGTCATTAACATAGATATAGTACCTATTTCGATTTAATCGTTATTTATTGCGCACTATAAAATTAGTTTTATCGATTTCAAGTAGATTATACAAAACAGCTGAGCGGAATTGCATGGGGTTTTGCAGGGAACTCCTTTCTAACTTAACGCCTTGGTGCTTGAACTTAGTTTCGTCTGCCTGATAACGTCTAAATAAAAGTCTCACCCTACAGTATATTTAAAAAAACAGGCAACAATTCCCACATATCAATAAAAGAAATATATTACACAACGGAAACAGATAAAAACTTGAAACTAACCTAAAAACTATTTTATTTTACAAAATAATGCTGTCATTTTTTCATCACGTAAGTACCAAAGCCACCAAGTTAATGTATAAGATCCACCCATAGTACGAATTCTTTATGGTCGACTTAACAAAGTCACGTAAACACTGGCACAAAAACTAAACAAGGATAATCGATTATTGTTTTGGCCGAAATAGTGCATTGTATGAAATAAAAAAATTTTAAAAGAATTACCGGTCTTCCGTGCCCATCAAGGCAGAATCTGCACCATGCCCCTTATTGTAACAGAGGGACACCAAACGGAGATACGTCCTCGATATCTTATGTACCCAAACAAACCCCGAACTTGAATCATTACTTACACTGTACTCTTTTAAGTCCATATTAACACTGGATATTTCCCTCTAAGGTTCATTTAAGAATCTTCCTAAATAATAAAGCTGTAAGGTCTAAATACAGTAAGTCTTACGTCCTTCAATAAGTCGAAGTGTTCCAGTAAGTTCCATAATACCTAAGGCAGTTCTAAAGTCTAAAATGGCTTGTCTTGTAAATGAGTCTTCTTTCTCAGTAAGTTACTTACAAAATGAAATTCACCTTCCTTTTCAAAAGAAGCAATTTTGACATAAAATAATAAAAGGTTCAGATATCTCACACCATCGCGGGGCTAAAGCAGGAGTAGGAATGGAATGGTTTTAGTCAGTAAGAGTTTGACACTCTCTCTCGCCTCACCCAAGGTAGGTAGGACAAGTGACAAGTGATTGGATGATTTCCCCCCCCTCAAAAAAACAAAAGATATCTTAGACCCTCGTAACTTGTTAAGTGTCAAATAAGTCTTCCAGCAATTTCTACCAGTCCAGTTTTTTGTCTAGCTCAAAGTTTAATTCCTGTATTCCAGTCACATTTCCAATCAGTTTCAAGTTAATCAGATTTCACGACAAATATGTCAGTATTTTAAAATCAAAGTCTTTGGTAAGTCCCAGTATATCTACTACAGTAACTAATAGATACCTAAATGACCTAACAATTTTGTGTCGAATCCCACAACGCGTAAGTCACTGTATCACTTAATAATCTTAATTATCATGAGTATGTGTAACCACTAGCACAAAAGAACCAGATTTCTATAAACTAGACCGAATCTGACAATGAGTCACAAATACACAAAAATCTTGCAAAAAAACACGACCAAAATAAACCAATGTCAACGAACACAAAGATAGGTTAAGACTAAACACTATCACACACAATAAAATGCGCGGACAAAAAAGTAAAAAAAAAACGTAAACAAAATACCAACGAAGGCTGCGTTTATCAGAATCAGGAAACGTAGGAAATCTGAAACTATCTTATCGCGATAGTAATCACGTAAAATCATTATCATTATCATTTAAGTTTCTGTGACAATGTCCTCGAAAGAAACCGATACAAACGTGGTCGATTATTCAAATATTCAAGGTTAGAATAAAGAAATATTTCGTCGTTCGCAAATTATATCGATAAACTTGGCGAAATAGCAATTCGGTTTTGAATAACATTATGTAATCAGATGGTTTCTGCTAACATTACCATAAAACAAACTATTTTGTATTAGCGTTCAGTTGTGTTTTTATAATAACCATTTTAGTTAATTTAGCGTTCCGTTGTGTTCTATTCAGTTATATTAAGCTTATTTCTCCATTAGTTTAATAAAATCTAGCCTCAGTAAGTAGGCAAGGACAAGAAGATATAGAAGTTATTGCCATTATAAAGATGCACAATTTTTAAATAATAATTCAAATGTCACAATCCACGTCAAACATCTGCGATCGTGAGACCCCCATCCATGTACTTATCGAGGTTGAATGCATTTACTTCATAACACCTTATCTTTATACAATCTAAGCTAAAACAGTATTTATTTCAAAATAAATTAGAATTAATACAGTGCGATTACGTCAAAAAGTGACCTCTGTCAAACTTGAGAATTTTGTCATCATAAATCACGAGATCCTGTTCATCATTTTACAGTCCGTGTCCGTCCATGCCTGGGTTGTGACGGCTGGGGAGCCTCCTGTACATGAGAGTATGAATTTGCCCTTATATCTTTGTAAGATCTGCGGGAAGAGTAGGGGTGGCGACAAATTCTCCTCTTTCTTTACCACGGGACTATAAATAGATAAATAGATTTAGCTTCCCAGTAATTTCAGTGGCCACCAATAGTGCATCCGGTGTCAACCAAAATGAGGTGCTAACAGAAAAATGTATACACACCTTTCAAGGTGATTAAATGTATATGTTCGAACTAGCTAAGCTAATTTAACTCGTCGAGTACCGTCATTATAGACACAATTATAGAACAATAGGTTGCGGTCACCCGTGACCGCTTGGTGTTTGACAGTTTAAACAGTTCGATCAAAATATTTTGGGGCAAAATGAACTGAATAGTGGTCGTTTGCAACCCCTAACCTCACCTAAAAACCTATATGCTTAGTCGGGTTAACAGCATCAACTCGTAAGATCGTGTTAATATTATAGAAATAACAAAATACTTGATCAAAGATGAGTGAAAATCGAATGCTCTGATTAGGCTAGTTGGAGAACTTCTACATGAATAAATTATAGTTTAAAGGTCTTCAAAACAGTAATTACCTCTTCATAAAATCGGTAAGCAAATAAACCAACGCCTACAATACTTCTAAATCAAAGACACCCACAGTATACATGCTTAGCGTTCATACTACGTATAACAAATCAAACCTGTCTGTATGTATATTTGTGGATTCTAACGTCAACGTATCAGTATGTAGGTACCTGCTATTTGTTGATACAACAGGGGTGTTTGAACTGCGGCAACGGCTTAATCCGCGTCCCATTTAGACGCTTTGATAGTGTGCCAGGACCCGGTTTAATTACTTAAGATATTTTATCAGGTACTTTTATTCGTAAGTGGCGCCATTTTTGGGGAACTACAGCTAGAGACGATTTATTTATACAGAAATGTAGTTGTAAAAGTGAGAGTCTATTTCAAAACACAGTAATCAGTACGCAATCAATACAAGAAATGAAAACAAATAAATGATATGCTGATGACGTCAACCAAAACCTTTCTGTTGTGTTGGGTACCCATTAACATCTGTGCTAATCAGGGACATCAATACATAGTATAAAACAAAGTCGCTTTCGCTGTATGTCCGTATGTATGCTTAGATCTTTAAAACTACGCAACGGATTTTGATGCGGTTTTTTTTAATAGATAGAGTGATTCTTAAGGAAGGTTTGTATGTATAATACATGCATATTGCACCCGTGCGAAGCCGGGGCGGGTCGCTAGTATAGTACAAACAATTAATCGATTTAATAATTAAAAATATTCTTTCATAAATATTAAAACGTCTATTTAAAACTGTGTATTTTAGATTTAGAAGTCATGTATTGTCCTTATAAAATTCAGAATCTAGTACAAGCGATGCATACTAATATCTAATAATAATGCGCTTGCGCAGAATGAATTGGCAAACACCTGGTGCACTGAATGTTTGGCTTTACGTAGACTTGCGGAAGTTGAGCTGATCTCATTTGTTCCGCACGAAATATAAACTCACCATTGTTTAACGAAGGAAACAGATTATCCTCTTTCAATGGTATCAATTTGGCCTTGACGACGAATTAATTACGTAAAGTAGTTAGTCAGGTTTTGTACTACGTTTACCGTACCGTATCTCTACTTTTGTCAGAAGAGCAGCGGATTTCTTAGGCTATTTTCAATACCATATCTTCTCTTATAATTTCTCTGTGTGTATAAATCCGAAACGTGGAAATTCGCCAAAGAAGTAGAGTAACCGACGAAGTTTTTTTTATACTTGATAGAGTGACGTTTGTTCACCATCTCGCCTGGTGGTAAGCGATATAGTTCTTAAATTATTACATAGTAAAGGTCAGGCCAGAAGTCGTAGCGTAGGTAGACGAATCGAAAAAAATATCCGAGTCGCGGGCAGCCTATACAATATAAAATGTAAGTCAGAACTTACATTTCATCAACATCAACTCAGAGGATGATGTTCGATATGAAGGACTAAGGGGGAAGACCTGTCTTCAGCAGTAAACGTCTTTCGGTTGATGATGATCTTTTCTAAAGCTCAACTGTCAAAAAAAGTTGCTAGCATAAGGATGTAAGGATAATAGCAGACATTATCTTGTATAAGATCAATTCAAACACTTCCAATTGAGACTTAACCTCTTGTCTGTCGATATAGAGACACGTTGACAAGAGGTTAAACAAAGAAACCCATCCAGTCATCCACTCACCCACTTGAAAGGTCCTAAACAAATTGCAGAAGAAACTTCGAACAAAATCGAGCAAACAAGCGCCAGCACAAGTCACAAATCGAGCAAAAAAATAAGAAACGGTCACTGATTAGAAGGCAATAATGGAGTACTATAATTACCATCGCTTAAACAACCACATTTCAGGACATAACTTATATCAAATTTATAACTGACAACTGTCAGTGTCAACCACCAACACAGGCCTTAAACAGACTGATGTGTTCGTTAAAGCTAAATCTCAAACAGCTATTATTAAAAAAATAGCGTAAGGCACTTTTTATTATACATATAAACAAGTTTAGCAACAACCATATTGTTACTTATTTAGAATTTCAAATGGCTAATTGTCAAGTCTTTGAATACTACCATTATTTAGTTTTAATGTTTGGTTAATAAGGATTAAAATTATCTTGGTCTCTCGGAATAGCTTCGTTGCGGCCGCCAAGACATTAAATGATTAAACCCAAAGTATTGATGTATACGAATTACGAACTAACTCCCTGTTGCGCGATGGTGGCCAAACGTCAACCTATGAAGTACCCATAAAAAATGAATTCTTTTTGTCTAAATAGGACAATGTTAGGGTACTGTTAAAAATGCTAATTACAAGCACGAAAGCATGCTTTTTTTTTTTTTTTTTTTTTTTTTTTTCTATTTTCTGCAACTTAGCAATCTGTGATCATTCACAATGAGCCATTCTGTTGTGGTCCACGTCACCAGTCTTTGTTCTTACAGTAGGAAAGTTTTGTTTTCCTCTCATAAGCTGTCGAACCTCGTAGTAAGGGTAGGAACGCTATGGCGTTTGAGTCTGGAGTATGTGACACTTCCCGTGCCTTCGAGTTTAGAAGCAAGTTCATTGATGTGTGTAGATATTCTCGACTGGTAGTTTTTGCTGTATCTGGCAATTTCCTGCTTGACTGTACTGATGTTTAAATCCTCATGTATGTATTTATTACTTACGTAGTAAGGAATATCGAGTATGGCTCTCAGTGTTTTACTTTGAAACCTTTCAAGGATCTCAATGTTGCTGTTGCTTGATGTACCCCACAACTGGATACCATATGTCCAAATCGGTTTAAGGATAGTTTTATAGATGGCCATCTTGCTTTCTTTCGAGAGTCTTGTTTTGCGACCCATTAACCAATGCATTGATCTAAGTCTTGCGTCTAACTGTTTACGCTTAGTCCATATGTGCTTTCTCCAAGTGAGTCTTCGGTCTAAATGCATGCCCAGGTATTTAGTGTCCTCGGCCTGTGGTATCTCCTCATTGTGGAGTTTTATTGGAGGACACGTTTGTTTTCTGAGGGTGAAAGTGACATGGACAGATTTACTCTGATTGGCCTTAATTCTCCAGGTGTCCAG